GGAGCAGAGAGCATCTTCAGCAGGGAATGAAAGTTTGATCCAGCAGCAAATTAAGGAGTTTGTACTTGTATAAAGGTTCAGGGAGACACAAACTGTATTTTGGTTACTGAAGGGTCCTCAAGGCTGCTGCCAGGCAGACCTGACACTGATCTGGAAGAACAAGCACAAAGAAACTGGTTGTCTCCTCATCCTTTTTGTCCCGAGCCAAATGCTTCAGCACTCAGCCATGCTCAGTGCAGAGCTATGGGAAAGGGCTCCAGCCAGCTGTAATCCTGCAGAGGAACTGCAGCCTTGCACGTTCGTATTTCTCAGGCAAGAGGTGGCAACGAACGGTGGCTGCAGAGAGAGAGAAAGAAACACAAAACTCTACCTCCTGCACATGTTCATAAAACTATCCAATCCTTTCCCAAATCAATCTTCTCGCTCCCATCTCCACCCTGCTGGAGCTGTCTCTGTGGGACACTTCCAAGTAGGGGAGAGGTTGCAGCTCTCTGTTGTTGCCATTTTGGGAATGTTGTTTTATAGATTGGACTTGCTGTGGTTTGGATGAAATGAAAGAGTTTGGCATAAAAATCTCAAAAAGTCAAATACAAACAGGCTCTTTTTCAGGGCCTCCTTCCACGTGTTTTTTTTTTCTAGAGGGAATTTTCATAAGCTCTTTTTCTTTTTAAACATAAAGTGATCTAAGGTGGCCTGTTCTCACCCACCCATCATGTGCCAGAGGCCAGCTGATTACAGGGCACCTCTCAGTGCACCCTCTTTATTATGCCTGTAGTAGGTTCACATGCACATTTGAGGGGAAGTGAGACCCTCTGCAATGAAGATTCAAAAGGCTGTGAAACGGCTGAAGGCACTCACCATTTCTGCACTGCAAGGACTCCGCACCAGCTCCTCCCTCAAGGACCAGCTGCTTTGAAAGCTATTGCTGTCTGTAGCTATCAGCTACATCTGCTCAGCAGAAAAACTGAAATAGTCCAACAACCTTCATCCTGCAAACTGCAGGACTGAGCTAGCTCCCAGATTCCCTGTCTTTATTCAGTCATCTTCAAGGAAAGATGTCAGCAAAGTGAGTGGACTAGCTCCTAAGAGGCACTGACCACTGATACCTCCCCATGATGGCAAGCTGAAACCTCAAGTCTTGGGGAACACAAAACTCCTCTGGGATAAAAGCAGGACTGACACCCTGGTGGGTGGATTACAGTTTTGGTGATGTTCTCTTTGGTGATGAATTGTTCATTGGAATCAATGACTTCACTCTCCAAACAGTCTCCCGTGCCAAAGGCAAAACCCTTCACTGAACTGACTGTGCTGGCAGCTGTAGAGCACTGGGGAAATACAATTTTGAAGAGCATGGCAAAGAATGGATGTCTTAAGGATGCGTTGGGGCTCCATTTAGGATCTTAATCTCTAATCTGCCCAATTAATCTGATACAACAGATGTGAAAGAGGAAGAACAGCCAGTCTCCTAGGAATCACAGAGACATTAGAAAGGATATACTTGCCAGATGTTGAATGTTTGCTATCTGGAACGCCTCCTCCCTCCCTAACCGGACTGTCTGGCTCCATTTCCATGCACCCTGAACTACACCATGTAGCAACACGCAGTTTGTAAAACACTATTCAGGCACTCTGTACTCACGCATATTGCAGTGGCAAAAGATGGTTCTGCCAGTCAGAAAAAAAAGGTGGTGATTCAGAGATCTTCCAGTTGACAGAGCTGCTCTGTGGCTCTGTCCTTTGGTCCCTGCACTGTCTGGGAGAAGAATGTGGTGTGTCACTGCTCCAGTCACGCTGCTAGCAGCCTAGTGACACTGGGAAGGACCTTACTTGAGGCTGTTTCTTTGGAGAAAAAAACTTCTTTGAGGGAGGAATCCCTGCAATGCTGGTGTCCTGTGCTCAACTTTATTCTAACAGTATCATGGAAGGGCACTGGGATGAATGAACTTAGTCAATTTAAGGAAGGAGGGAGCAGGGGCAAAGGAACAAAGTAAAATCTAGGACAACATACCCAGCTATGGATATATGCCAGGCACGGGGCAGAATCTTCTGAAGGGAAGGGACAGAGTCTCAAAGGGTAAAGGAGAAGGACAATTCTGCCTTGACCTTACGGGGGCAGGCTGAGTGCAAACACAGCCACCACTCATAAATTCCCCCTGGGACATTTAAGATCAGTAAAACAAAACACCAGAAGTGAGCTGGACTGTAAAAGGATAAGCTGAAATACAAGATACTGGAACCTGTTATTTCTTCAACACCCTTCTCTATTTTGTGGGGAACCTAGAACTCCAGCAGGGGCTAAACAATCCCAGACAAACACATCAGTGACACAGGACATCCTTTTCCAAGACGGAGCAAATAGTAACCAGTTTTGAAAAAAAGGATATTCTGGGAAAAGGCAAGGGAAATACAAAACAGCACTCTCTTTTAAAAACATAAATGAGATGCCACTTGTTTGAAATGCATGGGCTACAGCTGCTTAAAAGGAGTGAGAGATCAGAGTCTCATTCTAGCCCTGCACTGTAAGAAGGCATCAAATAAAACTGGAAGATGGGAAACCATTCACTATCACCAAGCTAGTCACCTAAGAAACAGCTTCCTTCCTGCTCAACACCTCCTTAAAGACCTGGCCTTGGAAATTCAATCCAAGCAGAACGGTGCCTTGTAGGGATGTAATGCTTTTGAGAACTGTACCCACTGAGTCTGTGGGATTTGGCTGGACAATGCACTGTTCATTGTGTTGATATATTTATTTGGAACTGGCATTTAATCAATCCTCCTCTTTCAGGGAGCCTCAGTGCAAGTCTTCTGCACAATGCTGTGTCCCATGGCATTCATAAATGGGGCATTCAATACTCAGGCTGTGACATGTAAGTGCAACACGGCATCGGTGGTACTCAAGCGGCATCATAATCAACTCAAGAGTGATAAAGCTCCCAAATATCACCTCTGCACAGTCTCATTTACAACCTACCACTGAGTTGGCGAATGTTAAGAAACATCCTGCAGGACTGAGAGGTGTTTTTTCAAATGGAATTGACGAGAATAGGCTCAGCTAATGATTCTCTGATGTAGCTTTTTATATGGCATCATTGATATAAGTTTTATGGATGCAGTTGCTATAACAACATAATGCACAGTGGTTAAATATAGCAGCTCCTATTTTCCACTCAGTTTGCTCTGCCTTAAGCAGACAAGGACTATTCTTTTCTGTTCTAGCTGGGATGAAATGGATTTGATAGCTCACTGAAGAAAAGAAGTGGTACAGTCCTTCCTCCCCCTCACAGACCATTCCTCTCCACCCTAGGCAAGCAAGCAAACAACAAACCCAACAGCCCCCTGTTTGCTAGGCTGCTGCACAAGAGGGCTTGTTTAAAATCAAAATGCACAACGACTCATGCAAAACTAAACCACCTCAATATTACATGTGATCTCAGTGCAAACACTGTCATTTCAAAGTGCAGGAAAGGAAGGTTCTCAAATATTCCTGTCACGTAGTATTTACCATGCTCATTACTGTAGTGCCTAGTGACTGGCCAAATGCTGAGAGGGGAGTAAAGTGACCTTGATGTCACTCGAGACCTGCTCCTCCTTGTGCACACATGTACAGCATCCAGCCTCTCTTGGCCACAGGGAAAGCTCCTATTTTGGCGAATAAGAGGGAATGATGTTGCCAAATCAAGGTGACAGGGAAAGAAGTAGAGCTACCGAGGATTGCTTCCAATTCTTCCTTCTTTGCTATAATGGGATTTTCCTGGGTTTGGGTTGGTTTTTTTTTTCCGTCTGGACGTCAGAACTGAAATACTCCCAGGGGAGACTGAAATCAAGTAGCAATTTGTGTTCCTCTCCCATCCTGTTTTTTTTATTTTTTCCCTCGCAAAAGAACAAATCCACCCTCAAACCTTGGCATTTCACAGTTCCTCCCAGATCTGAAGCCTAGACACATAGCAGCAGCTGGACTCCCTGCAAGCTGTCAGGAGGAGGGTTGCTGCAAGGGGAAGGGCACATTTCTTCTGAATAGTTCCTGCTCCTTTGAACAAAACCTCTGTTCCAGACACTAGAAGGAATATTTATGCCCTTAGCAGATAACGCTGAGCATCTGCTCAGCTATGACCATTTCCTAAACGGTTTTGTTCCTTGAAGCTGTTCAATAATTTCCACCTCCTGAAGCAAGGAGCTGTGGGATGGGTCACACAGCCTGTTCCACCCCTGCTCCGGCAGAAAGTACATCTCTTAGGCAGTGGGCACACAATCTCCCTCAGACGGGGAGCATCCAAAAGAGCTAAGCATCACTGCACCAGCCCTCTGCTTCATCCTTTCCACTTACAGCCACAGTAGAGGCAGAACCCTGCAGACCTTGTTTAAAGATAGTTAATAAATACATTGCACATGATACCTGGAGGGGAGAGTTCATTTGCCTTTTTCTTGCCATGTAGCACTGGGGCACCAGGGGCAGCAACCGCTGCTTTGCAAAGCCCTGCTGGCAGGGATGTACGTGAGAAGCCTCAGCATATGCTCCCAGTGCTGCCTGTACTAGCCAATATGCGAGAACTCATCAGGGCACTGAAAATCAGGAGTGATACAGTCACGCTCTACTTCCTCCATGACACAAACTGAAAAATAATGAGGGCGAGCAAACCACTAAAAATAAACTTAACCTTTCAGTGGCCACAGCATCACTCCTGCCACGTACGGACAACTGGGCCACCATGCTTATTTCTGCTGATTCAGGACTGGAAGAGAGACAAGACACAAAGGAGCCCTTAGTTAATGAGAGCTGCTTATACTCTGGTGTCCCTATCAGCATGTACCTCATCAGCCAGGACAATGTTCTGCTGCAGGCTAAGGACTAGTGCAAAGATCTGAGTTCAAGGCACTTGCATATAATGAGTACTTGCTAGTGACACACTCCGAGGCAAGAAGAGGGTTAACAGCCCCACTGCACACACAGGAAACCTAAAGCATAAAGGTGGGACAGTGATTTCTGCACAGCCACAAAGTGAGACAACAGTAGAGCTGGGCTTAAAATTGAGAGTTTTCCTTAACTTTCTCATATGTAATTCAGCTGCTAGCTTGTTTTCCCTGGATCTCTTCAGGAGGTAGGGGGGGACACCTAACAATCTGCCCTCCGTTCCTATTTGCAGGTCGTATGGCAATTGACTGAGCAAACACTGAGGTCCAGGCAGCTGGAAGCTCTCTAGTCCCTCTGTGTCAATGTTGTGAGCGTTGGTCATCAACCTCTGTTCCTCACTCACTCTTCAAATAACACTGCCAGAAAGCATCTCACGACTTAGCCCAAACAAACACACTTTGCTTTAACTCCACTCCCTTTCCTTCTGTTAGGATATTTCAGAAGTTGCTGGGAAAAGCCACGATCCCCCCTAACACCGAATTCCAGCCATCAGATAGCATCAAAGACTTTCAGCATCTTCCCAGAGGAGCTCAGTAGGTCACAGTACGCGTTCTGTGGCACTGCAGCTTTCTCTAGGCAAGTGAGAAAGGCAAATCACTGTGATGTTGTTAGCAAAAGAGCCAGAGAGTTATTTGGATTGCACGGATGATTCAGAAAACAAATGGGTGCTAAAAATATAAGATATACTTGCAAAGAGATCTTCTCATGCCTGGGAAAGGCAGGGGCAGCTCTGGGGGGAGACCTCTCTAGGACACAATGAGGTCCGAATGAGCAGAGGGTTAAAATAAAATGCAGTAGCTGTCTTGCCAGCAAAATTTGGGTGTTTTTAATGCAAGGGATTTTTGTCTAGCAACCTTCCCACATCATAGCACAGAGACAGAGGTTCTCAGAATGTAAAGAATAAAGCAGTGAAGGAACGAATTGACTTAAGAAGAGTGGTAAATAGGGACAGCTCCAGTGAAAGAGCAACATCCTTGGGCCAGAGAGGCAAATTCAGTTGCCCAGACAGGATGGCAACATCCTCTGGAACGACGGTACAGAACTCTCAAAAATCCAACTACCACCACCTCAGGCATCAGCTATTCACATCACTCTCCTCAAACCAGAAGTGCAAATTGATCTGTGGCATATTTTAGCAGGATCGAGGACAGGAAGAGCAAAGAGGGCCCAGTGAAAGGGAGACTGGCAAAGCACCAGCAGATGGAATCATAAAGGATGCTGTAGGTCATTTACAGAGCTGTGAGAGTTTCTCCAAACAGTATGGTGACCCACAGCCTGGCACTCAATTATATCAGTGACGTTAATACTGCTTTTTGCTCTAGCTATTAGTTTTCTGATTATACACAAACACCACATTCACTCTGTAACACTATTGTGAGGCATTCAGGGAAGTGTGCAGAACACTGTACCTTAGAGCAGTGTAAAGAGAAACGTGGTTAGCATGACCACTCACTCCTCCCGCATCAAAGGTTACCACCTGCAATAAAACCAGAGAACAACAATCATTCTGAAGAAGGAGGAGACTGTGCAGTTACCAACTTTGACATCTAACAAAGCACTGTCCCAGCCCATTGTATCCAAAGAGCTGGGTTTGTGTTGCACAATGAGGCATTGTATGTGAAATCATGCTAGAAATACAACTAAACAAGTAAGACACCCTGGAAGTAGATGACTACACAGTCTTAACAGCTTGAACAACAGAAAGACGACAAATACCATGTTCCCACTGGCAGGATGCACTTGTTACTTATTATCGGGCCAAAAGGTGATCTGCTGCAAACTTGTCCCTGACCCAAGAGGTCCAGCTCTATGAATCACTCTCTCCCGGATTTGACAACATACTCAAATGCTGGAGGATCATGGGGTGAAACTATGTTGTGCTGTGAATCGGGACATAGTGCTTTAACGAGAGCAACACGATCGTGTACCACCATCCTGATTGTAAGGAGGCTTCATCACAGGATAACGTAGTGATAAAGTAGTCTGATATGAGAACAAGCCTTTTTAAAGAATCAGCTGACTGCACTATTTGTACAACCAAGTCAAGCTTTTCGCTGAATGAGAAGATCATATTGTTTACTGCTTCTCTGCAGGGAGAAATGAGAACTTCATAACACAGAAGTAATGCGTGAACGCAGCACTAACGAGTCACCGTCCAAAGCACAGAACACCCCTGGCTCCCTGCCCTCAGTCCTACCAATAACGTGCCAGGGGTGAAGCATCCACCCTGAGGGCTCAGTACTGTAAAATGAGTGCTTAAATGCTCCTGCTTCCAACATGGAAGACAAACTGGCAGCGCAAAGTGTAGAGCAGACAGGGTACGTGTGCTGGTAGGCTTCCAGATGGTGAAAGCGACAGTCCTTGGACAGTCTAAAGTCAGGTTTTTGCTCTGGGAGAGGCCAGGCAGCAGCTCCCTTCTCTACGACCCACGTTTCAGTCAATGTCTGCTTCCTTGCCAGCCCGTTCTCTCTTCGGGGAAGGAAATGCTACTGCCCTGCTTACTCACCGCAGCTCCCTGCTCCAAATCGGCTTTATACGCAGGGCCTGAAGTACTGGGTTAAAGATCAAGGGAAGATCAAAAGCCACCCTGCTCCTCCTGCAACTTGCTGCTCCACCCTCCAAGAGGAGAGGCCCTCTCAAACACAGGGGATATTGTGTAAAGAGGGAGAGGAAACACAAAGACAGTGATAAGAAATACTTCGAAAACCACAAACTCCAGACAAGCCTGCTTCTAAACCCATCCACGCAGTACTCGCCCACAGTCAGACTTTCCACTTTGCCCAGTGGCTGCAATAATGCTGCCACCAAGCAGCGGGGTTATTTATTGCTGGCAGGAAGTGGTGGGACCCAATTTGGTTTCCATCAGGTACAAAAAAGCATTTTCTGGTCAACCTCTATTTTATAAGTAGAAGAAGTATGGCTTTGGCTTTGGCTGCACATCAGCTTTGCCCGAGAGGCTCTGTGCAGGGCCTGCACGGTCGGGCACGGTGCTAAGCCCTCCCTAAGGATATCAGCTTTTTGAGTAGCTCACCTGGGAAAGACAGCATTAAACTCTGTACAGCTCAGGGAATGAGCAGAGCACCCTGGATTTTACAGATGAGAAAAAGCACGCTCTGAAGTCACTCCTACTTAGAGTGGCACCTTCCTAAGACGACAATGTACCCCACTCACTGCAGGCAGAATAAATTCCTATGCGGGTGAATAATAGTGTGAGTCTGCTCAGGGCTGGACTTGCACTAAACCTTTTTACTAAATGGGGACAGAGAGATGGTCCATCTCTTCTGCCTGGTCATCTACTTTCATGTAACCTGTACAAACACAACGTTTTAAGTCTACTACCCTGCTGTGAAATGTGGTTGAAATTAGCCAATAGGCTCTAGAGACTTTTGAAACATGCATGTGGGCACACACGTAAATACAATTGCATTATTCTTGTTTCCTTAGGAAACCAAGCTAAAAAGCCCAGGCAAGCCAAAACACACATTTTCGCTTCCATGGAGGGCACTAGAGAACAAACCAGAAGACTGAGATAAAAGACTATAGAGAGCAGATTAAATAACCTAATCGTTGTTTTGACAAAACCGGCTCAGGCCAACTGTGGGAGCACAAGGCTGGGTTAGGAAATATTCTTGACACGGAAATTATCTGTTCCGAAAACCTTTAGAGGTTTTTCTTCTCCACATCTGTTTTGAAACAGGAGCTGCTGTTCTCAGGGCTGCCGGGCTTACGTAACATCTGAACCAGCTAAAGAGACTGCCTGGAGTTCATTTTCAGCTGATGTTGTCTAATTTACTGTTAGGACATTAGCACCTGAACTGCCTGTCCCTTCGAATATACAAATTTGTAAGTACAGTTCCCAAGGTATCTGCACGCTGACCTGGCCATGGTGGCATTCACTTTGTCTGCAAAGAGACCACCTTTGAAATATTGGCTCTTCACCTTTAGAGATCCCTCCCAGCCCACAGGCTGGCTCTGACACAGTAGTGATGTCCCACCTACCCAGTATGTAGCTTCTAGGTCTGTTATCGAAACAGGGCACCGACTCCCCAGCATCACTGTGGTGCTCGTGACTTAAAGCAGGCAGCAATCACATGTAAATATATTTCTTTGGCTTCAGGGATTCATTTCATTGATAACAAATCTGAATTTCTTTCTCACATGCTGAAGATATTTTCACACGGGAGCATTTGCTTCTTCCACGTGGTGTAGCTAGCTGGTGTGCTTGCTTCTAACACATAACCTGAACCAGGCTGATGATGAAATCAAGAAAACAATCAGGGCAGGATGAGAAAACCTGAACATCTTGAAACCGTCTGGGTTAAGAACAGGCTTAGCGAGTTCTGGGAGCAAAAGGCTGGGATATACTTGATGTGGAAATTATTGCTCAATGAAATCTTTAGGGCAAGAGGGAGTTCCCTCCCCACACCTGTTCTGAAATGGGAGATGCTGCCATTGGAGTTGCTGGGTTTTCTTCTGGGTGACCTTGGTACTCAGGAAATGGAGCTTTCACTAGTGGAAGCCAGAGCAACAGCCAAGACAAACAGGTCCAGAAATCCCTTCCGGAGGGGGGAGAGCACAGAGGAAATTACTCAATGACTAGCAGAAGACAAAACTCCGGAGAGGTCTGGGTCTATGCTCCCTCTACAACACCACGTGCATTGGAGGAAAAAAGCACTCAAAGCTGTGGGTCTCCCTCACTCCTTACAGCATCATCCAGTGCTGCAAACTGAGCACACATCTGCTCAAGTAGACTGGTGGGGATAGAAAGGTCTCCTTCCTTTTTAAGAAAGGTCATCCCATAAAATGCCATAGCAAGCAACTCCATTTCTAATGGCCTTCCTCTGAGCATTATTTCATAGGCCCAACTTACACTTGCAGAGGACAGTGACATTCCCTTTGAGTCTCTTGTGTGTTTGGAGATGTCTCTTGTTGCTACTAAATCAGAGGAGCTAAAGATTTAAAAGAACGAATGACTGGATGAAAATGGAAAAATCTAATTATGATCAACACCCCAGTGTCCACTGGGTTTGAGCTGCAAGTGTGTCAAGCTGCAAGTCATGCACCTGCTCTTAGAACAAAAGGTCCTGGGGGTCTCCCACTCATGTACCCCAAAGCACACCTGAGAAGACCACAACATAAGTAAGGAAGGGAGAAAAAGGGATGCCAAAGTCTGTCCCAGCTCTGTTGCCACCTCTAGCAAACTCCACAGGCTGCACTCCATATCTGGTGTTCTGCAAAAGCATTTAAAATCCTCTACAAACATCACACATTCAAATGGGCCTGAGTTTCAGGAGTGTAGAGACTGAGATCCAAAACACGAGAGCTAAACTCACCCTCTCAAATGTAAGCTCCAACTTGAATGCCATTTGTAGAAGGATCTGGCTTTCTAGGCTGATTTGGAGCTGACCCAAGACAACAGGACTCTTCCATAAACAGTTGTATGGATGATGTTTCCATCAATCTGTAGTGGAAAGCAGCTTGCAAGAATGTGGTACTGCTGAATTCTGGTGTTGGCACTGCATCTGCCCCAAACACAGTCTGAATGTCACCTCCTAATCCAAGCTCTGCTATCACCAGACCTGAGATCCTGAAAAGTAGGATTTCATAATCTAGAGGTGCCTGGGGCTCACATGTAACTTATTTCTTTACACACCAAATACTTTCTAATGAGGATCGAGACAGTCTAGCCTTGGCTGCCTCTCCCAACAACACTGGCTTTTGCTTATAAATCCAGCAGGCAGGAAATAATTTCCAAAGTCTATAAATTAGTTTTGGCTTTGGGTACATCAACTGTTAATTTCTGTGTCTGCACTATTTAATGTAGAGTTTGGATGAAACATGTTCCTGTAGCTCTCAAAAATATTGAGTTACTCATGGACTTCAGGGGCAATTGAGGAAATGAGTAACTATGCAGTGGAATAAAACTACGCACAACGTGGTGTGACTCCTTTGCCTTGCGATCTTTCCTTTCAGACACCTTGGAAATGCAGCCTGCTTCTCCACTGCCAGATGACACATATGCTCTGTAGATAAAAGATACCGTGTCTATGCTGTGATTGTGGGGAGAACTGGGGAGCGTTTATCCACTGGGACAGCTAAAACAATACGTGTCTTCCCATCATGTTAACTCCACTGAGGTAGCTTGTTGTGTTTGAAACCCTGTTAGCTTACGTTTTGACAAGGCTCTTTGAACATGTTAAGCCAATTCTATCAATTTCAACATTACTGAAGAATAGACTCAGTTCACCTTCCAGGGCAAGGCCATTGTCAGGATAGCAGAGATGCTCCAAGAGTGGCTAACAGATAGCAAGCTCTGAAGTTCTAAAATGCAGAATATTCAACAAAGATAATCAGGTGCTTGCCTTGCCAATGTTGGCAAACTAGGTCTGCTCCGAAATGAATGGTATTATAGAAAATATGAGACCTGTGTGATTACTTGGGACACTCAAAATAATGTAAGTTTACAGGGCAGTTCATTACCACCATTCCTGAGAAGCTGCTTCAGTCGCCTTTGGTACTGCTGACATGTTCTGCCACAGTGATTTGTCCTCAGTGCTGCCCAGGGAAGCGCGGAGGGGACGCAGGGGGCCCTGCCCCAGTGTTCCCGTTACTACAGCTACACCCGACGCGTAGTCACATCGTGACCGTGCACGTTTCTTGCTTTGAAAACCCTGCACTTTACTTTTCAGCTCGTGCTGTGCTAGTGGCAGAGTCCTGCCTCCCCCAGCACGAACAGCTTGAGTTTAATTTCCTCTGAGGCAAAGTTCTAACCCTTTCTAACCATCTAGAGGAATTTTAGTGTTTTCAGAATTTCTACTGGGATTCTGGTGCACTTGTCCTAGTACCCATGAGAGTCACAAACAGGCAACACAAATCCACTTGTGTTAGAAGCTTTCAGATTAGATTAAAACCTATTTATTCACGGGGCTGAAAGGCACAAAAGGAGTCCAGGAAAACTGCATTTGTCTCTGTGCACAGGAATGAATTTCATGGAAAATTAGCCTCAGAATCAATACAAAGTGGGATGCATGATGCTGGTTTTTGCGCTCATGGGGCTTTCATGCTACAGGAGATGTGGTTTCTTGTTTTACGGATTGCTGAAAGGCTTTAAGAGTTTTGTGATTTTGCTGCTAACCAGTGTGTGACAGTGACACGCCTGATCACAGCAAGGTTCAACAGAAAAGAACAAAACACAATCTTTTCCATGCTTAGGCCCTTATTCTTGTTCTGTGGGGAAAAAAAAAAACAACAAAGTATACCAGTGCTAGGAAATCTCCCCAGTTTAATATTCTTCAATCCCATCCTATAACCCTGCTAATCTAGCTCTCTAACACGCGCCTGCCGATGTACTTCAAATCTAAGCTCAAATATAAGCCTAAATCCCAGATGGGCTCTCTTCTTCAATGAAACCTAGCAAAAGGGGCAAAATGGTTGCTTTAAAATGTAGAAAATGTTTGAGGAGTTAGTAAAGCAAAATTTCTCCACTGTTCATTTCTCACTAGGAAGCAAAGAAAGACCTCCAGAGAGAAAAGATATATCCAAACAACAACATCATCCTTTTCCATATTTTTCAGTGGAGCAATTCCATTTGTTCTGAACTTCTAGCAGTTGTCTGAAGGGTTTGAAAGAGGATCAGAATGACCATGTCTTACTTAGCAAAACATAGGAGCTGTACAAATACTCACAAAAAGTCTTAAACTACAAAACGCAAAATTACCTTCAGGTATCATTTTAGACTTGAAATTCAGCTGGGCTTATTCAGAGGGTCTTCTACAATTAACGAACTGCAACATCTACTACAGTGAAACTTACTACTTTCCACAGAGTTTGCAGTTTTTAACCCATCTGAAGTGCTTAGTTCAGTGAAGGCTGGTGACACTACAACCCAAAAGAGGCTTCATAGGATCTCGCTAGAGAAATGGATAAACATTATAAAGCAAATATTTCAAAATGAGGGAGCATACTCTCTCCCTGTCCTAGGCTATTTCACAGAGTCTCCAGAAGCAAAATCCTAACTTTAAACAGACTTCAAAGAAAGCTTTCACAGGGAAGGAAAAAGACTAGAAGAACACTAGCTCAAAAGTAATGTGGAAATTGCCTATGCTGTAGAAAGTTTCACATTACCACGTTGATGTTATTGGCTTCTACATGCTTTAGCACAAAGGCGGCAAGGAGCTGCGTGTCCCATTGAACAGCAGGATTATCTGGAAGGTCCCTGAAAACGAGAAGTGCAATTAGTCATTTCACTGCTGAGAACTTTATAAAGACTATGAGAGAAAAGAGAGATCGTCTTATCAGAGAATGAAAGCGAGATAAAATTATTTACCATATAAAACCACTGAACCTACTTAAGACTTACAAGCTTGTATTTTGGAGGGTTGAAAGGGAAACAGCAGTTCCAACACCCTCCTCATAGATTGGTCAAGGTCTCCCTTTCTTCTTACCATTAAGGTAGACTTTCTGACTGCTTTACTTTAAGCAACATCTCTTTTGTTCAATGATTCTTGTTTTCTATTCATCCTAATCAAATTTCTTTCTCTCTTTATTTAAAACCCCTTCTAAACACATTTTCCTGGAAGACTTTCCAATCATAATCTACTGATGAATTACATATGAAAAGTAAAAAGCCAACTCTTGCTCTCATTTATACCCATTATTATTTATTACAACCCATTAACCTCAATCAGAGGACAATAAAGCCATAATTATATTGCGTGGATTTGATAGTAGTTCTTCATCTGTTCATGTGACTGAATACTCTGCCTGGGTATTTTTGATTGCAGGCTTCTAGGGGCAGGGACCATGAGCCAAATGCAAAATAACACCGGCCAGCCAAGAGAATGATTCCATATTCACACAACTGAGAGCTGAATTTGACCCCTCAGTCATTATGTTTGAATGATGCCAAGAAAACATTGCTTGCAAAGTTAAAAAGGTTATTAGAAACAATAAGATAATACACAGCTGCTAAAGACCAATAGTGACATGTTAACCTGGTCTTTTTCTCAGACCTTTTCCCTCCTCTGATAGTCTGATAATTGCTGCGAGGTGGTTTAGCAGAAAAGTGACTGCACAGCCTTCTCACACAGACACACGGGTTTGGATCTGAACTGATCCAGCTGTTTGCTGCAGAGAGCAGGAGTGCTGCTTCCCAACACTCTTTGAGCCTTGCTGACTCCCCAGACAGCAAAAATGATAACATCTGCAACAAAACAACAGGAAAATGTCTCCTTGGCACATTCCAAAGTAAAGCTCAGCCTGGGTCTTCATGAGAGGTCTTCTGGCCACAAACTTTCCCACTGCTGTTAACAGTAGTAGTAGTAGTAGGAAGAGCCTAAAGTACAAAGTGACCATCAGCATGTTGCCCATTGTGTTACATACTTCTGTTCAGCCCAGGCCAAAATAACGTGCTGTTAGAAACCCCAGCCACAAGGGAAGGCGTTTCTGCACTAGCATACACGTTCCAGCTACGGTCCCTGTAGCAGAATTACCAACAACAGAAATTTTGGTTGTTGTTTGCAATTCCCTCTTGTATAGACAGCGTCTCTGCCTGATGTATATAAGACATTGGAATTTAATCATAGGAAAGATTCTTTGGTACATCTGGTGGCTGTCTCATCAACCTAACAAACCTGCATCCCATCTGCTCAAGACAAAAACTTCCACATCTCATGTTTGAAGAGGAAGTGGCCCTGCTGACCCCACAGGTATTACAAGTCCCACCACGTCACAGCAAGCTTTAAATGAAGCACGTTTTTAAAAAATGCTTCAACTGAAACATCCCAAGCGACACGCACACTGAGCAGAGTCTAAGTGCAAGTCCAACAGTGCTTCAGTTGTTTGAATGGTACCTTGGAGGTTACGTCAAGGCTTAACCTGATAATATTACACTAGTTAATTAGTCTAAAAGAGATTCTTCACTGGCCGCTTACAATGGAAATATCATTCCCCCTTTTGGACAGGGGTTAAATGGAGCTGTGGAGGAAGTGAAGAGTCCCATTAAAACAGGAGGGGTGCTCCAACAGTAAGAGGTCAGAAAAAAAAAGTAGGGCTTGGAATTTATGATGTCCAGGAGGCTTTGGTGTCATAGCCACGGCACTCAGCTTTATTGGGCTGTGTCCAAAAAGGCTGCTGGGTAGTGGAGCAGGTTTTAACTAGTTTAGACAGATAAAGATCACCCTCTTCAATGGAAATGAACAGCTGGAGGCAACGGTTTAGAATCCCTGGAAACAAAACAATCTGAAGGCATGAGCAAATTAACTCCATGAACACTGAACTGATTAGGCAGGAATATTCTGCAAAATTTCTGCTTCTACCCACTTGTCGCTGCTCATGGAGAGACCACTCACTCCCAGTAAGGAGTTATTTTTCTTGCATAATATTTGTCAGGCATCAAATCAGAGAAGTTGATCTTGCCAAACAAGACATACATGTACATAAGCACATTCATAACTCATTAATAGCCTCAATGGCCCACTGAAGTATTCTGAGCTCATTCTGCAAACACGAAAAGTGACACACATGTTAAATGACATGCCCAAAGTCACCCAGATAAGTCAGTAGCAGAGCTGGCAATACATTCATCTAGATTGCTCCAGGAAATAACCTTTTTTTTTTTTTTTGGTAAGAGTTTGCATAATACTTTGTAAAGTTGAAAATTTAAGTGTTGCCATGTTAGTAGGACCTCAAAGAAAGCACGACACCAATAACTTTCTGCCTGTGCTCTGGATATCAACAACTGGGTCGAGGTAAGGATGAAAAGGTGATTGAGAAAACCAAGTTCATATACACCACATAGCAATGCACACAAGATGCATTCTTAAAGGAGGCCTCTACATGCCCTAGGAACTTTGTAGGGGCATACAAACTTTGAAACTCTTGTAGTTCACAAAATCATCTATTCAGTGCAAAATACTTTTCTCTAACACTATACATCAGTCCCCACCAGACCTGAAAAGTCCACTGACTTGCTGCACTACTGAAATAAGTTGCATACGTTGTTTTATTTACCTTCGGGACTTGGTATCAGAAACATTCAGTGTTTAAATGGTTAACTCCACAACTGCCTTTCTGGCTAAGGCTGATAATGCCTCTGAGCTCAAGGTCGAAGGGCTGAGATAAAGGACTATAAAGGAGTGAAAATTAGCACATTCCCTGGAGCAGACTGGAGCTTGTCACAGGAGACAGGGTTCCCCACCAGCCCTCCCAGTCCCCTGCCCCAGAGAGCTCCTCGCCTCTGCTGTCAGTCACTGCGACAGATCAAGATTCCTGCACTGGAGGCCTCCCAGGTCATACTGCTGGAGGGTGCTGGTGGGAAGGGTAGGGGGGTTTGGTCATTTGGCCTCATTTCCACCCAACTCTTACAGTCTGGAAGTGATGTTTATGGGCATTCCACATGACTGATACTGAAGGCAGGTGGCTGCTTGGACACAGCCCTAGTTGACCAAGGAAAAGTAGGGAAATGCACAGAAGAAGCAAAAAAAATATTTTTAATGGAATAAAGCTCCAGAAATGTTGTTTTCCCAGCTATTTTCAGTGGAAGCCGTGCTGTGCACCGCACAGGGAATTTACAGTTGTGCCAAGAGATCTATAGTCTGAAGAGAGAGAAACAGAATTATAGTGCTGCAGTTGCTGCA